AATTTCCACTCTTTTGTCAGATATTTGACTTATTTTTACTCAGAAGTGCATTGATGACTGAAAGACATCTTCTGCCTCCATTTATCTGTTTACTACAGTGTGTTGAATTCATATTAATGTGGATTTAAAGACATTTCAATTAGTGGAAAATATTGCAGGGGGGGAATATAAAAAAAAAAAGTGTAATCAACCAAAACTTTCACGACCCCCATGCAGTAACTCCATTGACCCCCTATGGGTCACGGACCCCCTGTTGAAGATTTCCATCCTAAATCGTTTCATTTCATTTTTATTTCAGTCATGCCTTTTGCTTTTTTTAACATTAACCACAAAGAAGACAAAACTTATCATACTCTTCTCCAAACACAAAAGAAAATATAAAAGAGGGTCTGATGCATAATTTACAATATAACTTCAAGCCACACTGGCAGGTCATGTTTTGACTAAACAAATTTAGAAAACACCCAAGAAAATCAAAGTTACATTTATTTATTGTTGCATATTTTATAGCAGCATATAAGATTGAATTGTTCCCAATTTAAATTTGTTTTTAAACTGGTAAAAGGAAGAGGAGTTCTTTATATTTAGGAGCAGTGCGTTCCACAGTTTGACTCCAACCAGGGAGATACCCATCCACTCCTGGGTCGTTCTGACAAAATTGAGAGTAAAGTTACGTTTTCCTCAACTGGATGAATTTGTTTTAACTAGAAACATACTTTGTACAGTTTTAAGCAAAAGAGAATATCTTGTTTTATACATTATGATTGATGTTTGTAATTTTATAAGATCTTGTAATCTTAATAGCTTTGATTTTATAAATAGTTATTTTGTATGTTCTCTTCTATAAGTTTTGTTATTAATTCATATTTCTTTTATTGTATAGTTCAAATTAATCAAAGGTTGGATAGTAGTTGTGTACAGTATGTGTTTCCCCAAACTTCTGGGCAATGAATAAAATAAGGCAGTATTATTGTGCAATAAAAGAGCCTAAAAACCACACAATTTAAAAAAATCTACTTTAGGATGGCAATATTTTTACATAATTTCTTTATAATACCTCTACATGGGATTTCCACTTAAATTTTTAATCCAGGGTCACACTCAAAAATCTGAAATGAGACACTCTTTCAATATTTAGTCCATTTAAAGACAACTGGATATCCACATCTAATTTGCAATAACAAAAAAAAGATACATTATGTTTTAGCCACATTGAGTGATAATTTGTTTTCATCAAACCAATCGGATGAATCTGCTGATGAAATCTATATATATTTATCTTATAGTTATAGTTATTATATAGTCTATAATCCCAAAATAATCCCAGGCATTATTTTGACAAAATAATGTGCGAGTTGAAACTTGCTCGTGTCTAAACTGCCTCTCTATCGCCCCCCTCAGGTTAAAAAAAGACATACTGCATCTGATTTTTGCTACTGGCTTCCAGGAAGATGTGACCTCACCTGGGAAAAACGGTCTGCATATCTGTGTAATTGGGAATTATGTGAATTCAATAAGTAGGAGAATACGGACTCATCTGATTTTGCTATAACTCATATTACACACTTGGCTGCATTTTAAAATCTGATTTTTAAAAATCTCTATGAATGTGGTAAATATTGACATTAGCATATCCTCCACTCAAATTTTTGTGTACTTTGTTGATTAGCATATGATCTGTCTAGTTATGAAAACGCAAAAATCCACTGAGTTTCCCTCCCAAATCACTTTGCTCCCTCTTTGAATATGTGCTCTGTGTGTGCAAAGAAATTTGCAGGTGTTTTAAAACTCGCAAATCTTTTGAACAGAGCCTTAATTTCTCTGATCATTCCTTATGAGTTGATGATTGGCTCCCCCTTATGGTCTAGAACACCTGTTTGATGTGGAGCTAGTTTGTAGCTTTTCTTTATTTTCAATTTTATTTTATTTCTTTTGTAACATGTTGCATTTTTTTGTTACTTTTGTTTTGTGCGTCAGCCTCAGTTATATGTTCGCAGCATGTTTTCACTTCTTTTTTTGTGTTTGTTGCATCTAGAGACCAGCTGTAGATGGAGGATGCAGCAGACTCTGGGGTAATTAGGCAAATTAGTAAACCTCCCTGTAAGACTCTCTTTAGTTTTGAACCAGTATACACTGAGTAAGGTGTTTTCTTTTAATTATCTTCACATTGGCAGTGCTTTTAAGATTTTTATGTGAGCTTTTATTCAATTAATTCTAATGTATCCCTCATTGATGTTGTGTTGGTTCTTGATGGTTCATCTGTTTTTTTCAATGCCTGCTGTTTAAGGTACCTTTTTAAATCAAATTGGCTCAACTTCTTTACATTAACAACCCTGACAGAACAAAAAAGGATCTTCATTTATCATGCAGGAAATAAACACTGAGACTGAAACACGCAGATATGCCATGAAGATGTGTTTCCCACTGATAATTACTGTTATAAAATGAAATACAACAGGAGCAATAAAATGTTAATGAAGCTGTTGGTGGGATTCAGCCGGGTATTAAAAATCATCACAGGAAGGAAGGAAGGAAGGAAGGAAGGAAGGAAGGAAGGAAGGAAGGAAGGAAGGAAGGAAGGAAGGAAGGAGATAGTTAATAGAAATCAAAACAAGTAAAAATGGTAAAGATCAGTCTATAAAAGCAACACAGATGGCATTTCATATAAAAACGAAAAACCCACCAAGTATTTGGTTCCTTCAGAACAAATGCTCAATCGACCTATTCCACATGACTTTACAGGGTAACATTTCTGGACTATTAAAAAAGACTAAAGTACCCAGATAGAACCCATCCCTACAAACTCGATGCAGAAAAACCAAAGCCATGGATTCAAAGCCTGGAACTTCTTGCTGCAAAGCAGCGGTGTTACCAGCTCCTGCAATATTTTAACCCAAAATATTTCCATCACATCCATTTAATCTCAACTGAACAATTAAAATCCCCCCAAAAAAGGAACAAAAACAGTTTATTTATAGCTGAGAAGTGATGGTCTACCCCTGATATCTGGTGTTATCTGTTGCCTCTTGGAATGAATACTAAATAAATAGTAAAAAAACAACAACAAAATAAAAATATAAAATGGTTGAGCTTCACCACATACACAGACACATAAAGTAAAGTGGCACAGCTAGTCAGCTAGTCAGTGATAGCATATCTGAGCATTCTAGCCAATTTTTCAGACTGAATTTTAAAACAAACTGAACTGAACATTACAAACAGACTCACATTTTCTTCATACATGTCAGTTTTAATGGTGGATAATTATATGATATTAAGATGGTCAGGTCCTCCTGCAGCAAAGCATCCCCAAACCATGACACTTCCACCTCTGTGTTTTACCTTTAGTATGAACTTCTTTTTCCAGAAACACTATAACTTTCCTCTTTTCTAGTGTCCAATAAATATAATGTTGTTCTAATGGGTCCAAAGAACATTATTCTGGAGGTTGTGGTCATTGTTAACATTCTCCCTTGGAATTTTACTAATTATGCAAAGTTTTCTTCCAACACACTGTTTTAACAGCAGCCAAGTTAAATACTGCATATGAATCTTTCGCTACCACAATTATGTTTTCTATCTAGAAAATCCAAAATCAAACTTCTGAGTACCAAAGAACACAAAATAGCTTCACCAGAGAAGCCATGCTGATTGCACATGGAAAGTTAATTTGAGGCTGATGTTCCTCTGCACAACAATTATTACAGAAGTAAAATCTAAGACGACATTTTAAAACAAAATTACAGGACATGTTTGCTTTAACTATTATAAAAAGTTTAATTCAAAGGAAAATTAGATTTTTTTTTTTGGTTACATTTAAAGAGAAATTAGAATCTGAAAGTCTGAGCTTTTCAAAATTCGTAAATTGAAACTGGCGAAGAAAATTGCAATCGATGCATCTTTAAAACCCCACAAAGCTGTAGGGAACAGTTGGTTTACCAGTCTGAGCTGCACAGCAACACACACACACACACACACACACACACACACACACACACACGTTGGAGCAAGTTTCAGTTTCCAGGCGAACCGATAACAGCAGTGAGATGTTTAGTATTCAGAGAGGAGGGATGAACCCAGACGATAGTTGGCTCTAGAAACAAAGCAGCCTCTCAGTGACTCTCAGCTGAGGCTCTCACCCCGTTTGTGTGTTTGAAACAGTTGTTCATGCATGAACCCTCTGATCCTCACCACTTCCCATCCAGCAGACCAGGTTTGTGTGTGAATGCGTGATTTATGGACACACAAGTTAAGCATGCAGCCCAGTTTTACTCACCCAACTCAAACTCATGGGGTTATGTTGGTTCACCTGCCCTGAAACAGAGAAGTAAATATAATTAGTACAGAAAACAAGCTATTTGTTTTTCTGATTTACTAAATAAATGTTTTTCTACTCCAGATCCATGCAAAACACTCTGAAAACTGAACATTTTCAGTAAAGCTACAAGGCAACATGCATTTCACCTGAAGGTGCTTCTGCACAGCATCCTTTCATCGTCAAATTAAATCTGTTGCAACACAGACAAACAGATCAATAAAGAACTTGTTTGGGTTTTTATCTCTACAGCAGCTATGGAAACTCATTAAAGGTTTCACAAGCCAATATTTTTACAGATAACTTAATTGTATGTTGGATTTAGTAGCAGTTACCGCAGCCCACAGAGAGGTGGGCAGGGAAAATTTAATTTTCTCCTTTGGCTTTATCAGCAGAGACCTCTTTCATCCCTTTAAACGTCAAAACATAATTTATTGAAGTTAAATATATATATATTTTTCTATTTGGTGCCAATGTTTATGCTGAATAAAACCCAGTTTACAGCCTCCGTGAGGGTGAGTTAGATGTAAAGAATGGGAGCGTGCAGCCTCAGAAAGCGTGGGAATTCAAATGTCTCGCTGGGCCTCAGTAGCTGATGAGATCCCGCTTTGCCAAGGCTCGTCATTCAGCTCTTTGTCTGTCCTGGTCTCTGCTCACTGAGACGTGCCTGAAATAACAACAAGCCTCTACCTTTTACAAGACAGGACTGTAAAGATTGGATTATTGATCAGGGTTTTTTTTTAGAGCTTAGCATTATCTGAAATCTGCCAACTCTGATGCAATTATTAGCATCTAACAAGTATCCTTAACCCTGAAACAACAGCCGTGGATAATGCACAAGCTGGGAAATCTCTTTTCAGGAGCTGGAATTGCATCTGCAATGTGGTCGAAAGATTAACGAGAAAGCTCTGACCTCAGAAATGACTAGAAAGTTGATATAGTAATGAGGCTGCAGAGAAGAAGCCGATATCCCCTCCCTGAAGCCAAGCTTTACACATCAGACCAAAAGGTCTCCTCACCCACAGAATAACACTAGTAGAGGTTTTCCACCCTGACTTTCACTGATAGAAACATGGAAACCATCATCAACTGGTCTGAATTACAAAAAAGAACAAAAAACATCTAAAATTACAGAAACTAATATGATGAACTGGCCTCATGTCTTCAGCGCAGGAGAAGCTGGTGAAGCGTCAGGCTTTCCGTCACTTTATTATCAAACTCATAGTCATACCTGATGAAAGCCCTTAAACATAAACATACCACCTTCTTCCTTTACTTCACTGGTTTCCTAAAGTCTCCCCACTAGTTTTTCACTTAATGTGGCATCTTATTTGTCAAAAGTTCTCCTCAATCTTCACTGTCCCTGCTTCATCCACCATCACCCACCATTTCCACCTCCCTTTTTCTGTGCTGCCTCTCAGCTACAAAAAAAATCGCCCCCACAGACTAAGACGTTATTCCAAACAGGTTTAAAAACCTTTCATATACTCACTGTGTTTTAAAACTGTCTCTTCTTAATTGCTTTTTCTAGTCTTATTTTTATTTTCCTTTGTATTTATTGCACTCAGTACTGCTTATTCTGTATTTTAAAGTTCTTGTATAAGACTTTTCTAAGATTTAAAAGTCAACTTTAGTTATATGTTTGGTGAAAAAATGCCTTTAGCACTTCAGAGTATTAATTTGTTAATTAAAATGCCTCTTTCCTACGGGGTGCTGCACATTTCATGACATAACATGCCACTTCTGAAGGCTGAACAAAGCCCCCTGACTGGAGAAAGTGGGTGTATATTTACAGTGCAGGCGCAGCACAGTCAAGGTAGGTGCTTCAGGGGGAAGGCACTTCTTGGTAGATATTTCCCATCTGCTCATTTTCACAGGACAGAGATGGGGCTGCTGCTTAGACAGCCGGCCAATTAGGAGTGGTAATTTATCATATTGTTTGTTATTGCGACAAATTGCTATTAATGTAGATATAATGCAAATAGCGATGATAAAAAAAAACAAAAAAAATGGTGAATTGCAAATTTAATTTTTAATATTTTTTCTTTAATTTTATCAGTTGGGGCATTGGCCAATTTGAAGGATATAATAAATGTGACTACTACGTAATATTTAGTGATATCGGCTATACATCTTAATTTAATTAAAATCCTCCTTCTCACATATAAAGCCTTAAATGGCCAAGCACCATCTTACATCAGAGATCTGATTGTTCCTTATGTTCCTAACAGAGCACTTCTCTCTCAATCTGCAGGTTTACTAGTGGTTCCTAGAATTTCTAAAAGTAGAATGGGAGGCAGAGCTAGGTTCCTCTCTTTTAGAACCAACTACCAGTTTAGTCCCTGAGGCAGACACCCTGTCTACTTTTAAGACTAGGCTTACAACGTTACGTTTTGAAAAAGCTTATAGTTAGTGGCTCAGGTTATCCTGAGCTATCTCTATAGTTATGCTGCTATAGGCTTAGACTGCTGGAGGACATAGGGACCCCTTTTCATCATTCAGCTTCCTTTTATCTCTATTCTCCCACTCTGCACAGTCTGTTAGTTCAGTCTCTAACGTTCTGCTCTCTCTGCTTTTTCTCATAGCAGCTTTGCATCATCTGTTCCTGTTTGGCTGTGACTCCATCCTGGAGAGGAATATCAGCTGTGCTGCTGCCATCAACACCTTTGTTTATAGATGTTTGAGATCTGCCTGTTTTTCAATGTAGTCCTGTTTCTCTGACTGTGACTAACTGGATGTGCTTTTCGTCCTCTGATGTGGGGGCTGGCTTGGAAATTGTCTACCTGGCTGTGTGTTTTCTGAATGGGGCTGCCTGTGGGGCTGATTTACAGTTGCTTTTTGTATCTGTATCTTTCCCTATGTCTACTTCTGTCTCCTTGAACCCCAGTCTGTTAAACAGGAATTTTTTCCTCTCCACTGTCACTAAAAGCATCCTTAGTGTGAGGGATTGCCTTCGAGTCAATGAGTCGATCCAATCAACTGGTTTTCCTTAGATAGAAAACTTTGAATCGATTTTACTGTATGATCTGGTCGAACTGTAAAGTGCCTTGAGATGACATGTGTTGTAAATTAGGACTGTATAATTAAACTGAATTGAAATTGAAATTGGTAAATCTTTTCCAAGAGTAGTGTTTGTGATTGTGGGGGAAACGAATGCTAGTTACCAGTTAACTTCAAAGAATTAATGAAGATTGTTTTTAACTGTTGCTTTTATCGTTATCAGGATAAAACCCACTACNTCATCTGTTCCTGTTTGGCTGTGACTCCATCCTGGAGAGGAATATCAGCTGTGCTGCTGCCATCAACACCTTTGTTTATAGATGCTGGAGATCGGCCTGTTTTTCAATGTAGTCCTGTTTCTCTGACTCTGACTAACTGGATGTGCTTTTCGTCCTCTGATGTGGGGGCTGGCTTGGAAATTGTCTGCGTGGCTGTGTGTTTTCTGAATGGGGCTGCCTGTGGGGCTGATTTACAGTTGCTTTTTGTATCTGTATCTTTCTCTATGTCTGCTCCTGTCTCCTTGAACCCCAGTCTGTAAAACGGGAATGTTTTCCTCTCCACAGTCGCTAAAAGCATCCTTAGTGTGAGGGATTGCCTTCAAGTCAATGAGTCGATGCAATCAACTGGTTTTCCTTAGATAGAAAACTTTGAATCGATTTTACTGGATGATCTGGTCGAACTGTAAAGTGCCTTGAGATGACATGTGTTGTGAATTAGCACTATATAATTAAACTGAATTGAAATTGGTACATTTTTTCCAAGAGTAGTGTTTGTGATTGTTGGGGAAACGAATGCTAGTTACCAGTTAATTTCAAAGAATTAATGAAGATTGTTTTTAACTGTTGCTTTTATCGTTATCAGGATAAAACCCACTACCAACCCTACTATGATTAATATCACAGGGTCCAATAACTGATCTCCAAAGACTTTTAAAGCCAAATTAGCCAATTAGCTTTAAAACTGCTTTATATAAACCAAGAAGCCAAAAGTCTGAGGATGTTTGGCCTGAAGCAGGTTTAATATCTTCATGAAATAAAATGCAGTCATAAAAGAGCATTGGGCAAACTGGGGACCAGTTGATTGAAACATCATCCCTTTTCTTCATCGTTAACGCCTCCAACATGTAGAGGTCTTTTGTTTACCAATGGAAGACAAAGAGTCTCTCTTGTAGGAACCTTGTTTTCTGTAAACCTCTGTTCCCCCAGGTGTGTTGGTGTTTGTAAGAAATTATTCTGCTGATTATAATCCCCACCATTACTCATGTTTGAACTCCTCTGGGTAGTTGGGAGCAAACACTGGAAATATCTGGCTGCTTCCCAAACTGCATCAATGCCCTGTCCTGTTGACAGACTGTGGACAGCAGCCAAAAGCAAAAACCACCAACATAAGGTGGAATAAAACTGGCTGCAAAGGAGCGTCTGAACAATTAGAAAGAGGCAGATGTTTCAAAGTATTAGGATAAAGATTTAGATATGAATGTGTTCATTGGATCTCCTTCTGAAAATCTCTGTTATGATTTACAAACTAATGTTATTTTTAATGTGTTAAAAATACACACACACACACACAAAGAGCAAATAAAATGTTACATTCTGCAATAAAAGCAGAGGAAGACAAGATGTTATTATAAAAGAACAAATAATCTACTGCTAATTGTCAGTATTGTGTTTTGTATCTTAATGATGTTCGTCTAGAAAAGCAGACAGAGTAAAACCCCAGATTCTTATATAATAGTCATACTTCTAGGACTTTTAGTTATTCAGACATATTATGGAGAACACAGAAAAATGTGACTGTTTCATACAGATGATGGACAAAATTCCAAACACAGCAGGAATTTTGCTGAGTCAGTAACTTTATAGACCCTGTTAAAATAGCTGCATCATCGTGCCTCCATGCATTATAGGCTACACCAACACATTTATGGGGGGGACTAATGCCAAAAATAAATACATAAAAACAAAAAAATGCTTAATAAATGAATAAACAGAAAATCAAA